ATTGACTATAAAATCTTCATTGCAGATAAACCTGGAAGGACGAACACAAAGTTTTCTAACTTCAGTCTGCTACAGTTAATTAAAAGCTCTACAAACAAACAATACAAAGTGACATTATTTTGGCTGTTTGAGGAGAACTAATTCTGAAGTGGCTCCAGAGAATTAACACAGGCCAAGAACACAGCCTAATTCAAACAAACGGGGACTGTACAAGTAATTTAAAATACAAACATTCTATTATTTATATTTCCACCATAACAAAACAGACAAAACACAATATTAGTCCAACAAGGATCATTTATTAACAAACATTATAATACAAACAGGTAACAAATAAAGAGTGGACTCATTTCTGACCATCTCAAGTGATCAGGCACAGAGGTACCATCAAATAACATTTGCATTCAGTTATCATGGCCTTTAGAAACCTGAGCTTGATACAAAATGTTATGAAGTGTGCGTGGTACGAATGCATGTTGCACGATGATTAGGAAGCATTACAAAAGGTTTAAGTGTAGGAGTATAAATACAATGTATGTACAGCTGATGGAGTCAATTTGTTGATGCAGAATCACATAAGTTCCATGCAGCTCTAAACATTTGTCTGTACAGTTGGGAGCTGTAATAATATTCTGCTGCAAACTCAATGTCTATGCATTAACAGAGACATTAAAAACATATGTGTCTCCTGGCAACAGAACAACTGAGCACAGAAAAAATAAAATGTTTCTGATCTCTAGATCTCGCATATACTTGCTATTGATTCCTATTCCTTTAAATGATGTTAATTATAAATTAAAAGACGAGAATGGATTGGCTGAGTCAGGGAATAAAGGCTTCTCCTTCAGGATCACAACATTCATAAAAAATAATAAGTGGGTGTTTTCATATTCTGCTGGCACACACAGAGGATCCCACTTGGTCAAATACCCCCCAGGCTTTCATTTTGAGGGTCACAGGTTGAAGGTCAGGGGTCATGGTGCAGGAGTCACTAGGAGGGGGCATCCTCTCCGTGTATAGCCTTATACTTGGCCATGTCCTCTGGAAAAACCTTGCTGAGCTCTGAGATTAGAAGGCTCTTGAATTTCTGTTATGAAAGAAAATCCGACAACTGATGTTAGTTTACAATTGCCACTTTTACGCTGAGAATAATTTAACTTGCGTATAGTTATACCATAGTAACTGTCGGCTTTTGTGGAGCAGAGCTGCAAAAAGGACTAGTCTATAATTGTACTTATTATCCATGAGCAAGGACACTATAATAATCATTATTAGACTAAGGTGCAGCGCATGAACGGAATGAACTGAAAAAACTATGCTGAGAGAATATTCATTCATTATAACTTTCGTTTGGAATGAGTACCAGTGTAACTCCAGTCTTTTGCAGTGTTGCATTATGAATTGTTATATCCCCATTATGTTGCTAGCTAGTTGGTGTTACCAAGTTCGTCTCTAGGGACTCTATCAAAGAGAATCAGCCTTGAAATAGTTTTGTTAGTCACGTTTATCCAGCAGGGGTTTCTGAAGGCTGCAGGTGTGACCTTTTTTTGCTGCCACAGTGGAAATGAATTCTTGAACTACATCTGTCACACACGAGGAGCTAACATCAACTGAAATGTGACAAGAACCTGCTGTGTTTTCATAAATAATAATCATGCACATGGTCCCAGATTGTGTGAAACCTGAGGGAAACCCTGACATGGCTCTTCGTATAATTTAGAGGATCCTTGAAACAGACACTTTCTATCTATTAATAAACTCCGACACGTGCTTAGGAGCATTAAATCATTGAAATATCTTATGGTTACGTTTAATCTTAAAGCATCATTGGCGGGGGAATGTAAGACCCTGGGATTATCGCTTACCGTCATTGTGTCAATCTTCCCTTTGACCTGCTCGTTCCTTGCCAAGGCTCTCTCCAGACATTCCTTGGTGTACAGCTGAGGGTTTCGACCTTGGTCAATGTATCTAAAAACACAAGGAGGCATAATTCCAGCTGAAGCTATGAAGCACAGATAAAATATCATAAACACTATTGTCTGAATATGTTAAGTTGGCCTAGACACGTTCCACAACAAATGAGTTTATCTGAACCAATTCAGCCAACTGCAATGCAGTATGAAGAGCAGCAACAAGAAGTGTGGACCAATTATACCTGCTGTAAATGTTATTTTAGTAATATGTGTATGCCGAATTATAAACTGACTACAACAAACCAAGAAACTGTTTAAAACCTGGCGTGGAACTTTACCGGATTTGAGGGGGGAGGGATGAAAATGTAAATTATAAGATTTTCGAATGGGGTTTAGTGTGTGACGAATACAAAAACTGAAAGTATTGTCTCAGCAGAACATGTTGTATATGTACGTGACTCGGCATCGAAAGATAAAAGCAGAACTGTGAATGAAAAACCTCGACACGGATTATGAAGGCGGAAAGAATCCACCACCGGTACTCAGGACTCACTCGAAGACCTCCAGCGGGACGTTGATCTCATGGAGCTGCTGACGGCACTTCTCGATGTCCTGCAGACCGGATATCACGAAGTTCCTGGAGAGAAAAGGGACAAATCAACAGATGCGTTCTTTCTGGTCTGGTGCCGTTTCGAGCAGCTCGGGGACAACATGACTCACAGCTTCTGGTTCAGTCCTGCCTGGCTGCTGGGCTGGAAGTCGCTGACGATGATCCCCAGCTGTCGGATGTTCTCGATGAATTTCTCCAGGTGCTCCTCCAGGTTGTCAAACTTCTCCGCCATTTTGATTCCGCTTCGCAAAAACAAAGCTGTGAATGAACAGCGATTTCTCCGGTGGGAAGAATTCTCCTGGTCAGATATTCGCTGCTCGCCGCTGACAACACGACAGCCACAACACTGAAGTGCTTTGCGGCAACGGAACAGCCAATCGACGGCGAGTACTGCTCTGTTACCTGGGTAACCACCAATGAGAGGTGGTCGTCTGGCGCAACAAAGTGTCGTGCTGCTGGTTGAGCGGAAGCTCCTTTGTGAAGACTGAAGAATGAGCTGAGTCCATTTTCTTCTGTTTTATTCACCGTGATATTCTTGTAATCGAAGATAAATAAAGTGATGGAACAGTCACTTGACAGCATCTCTTATAATATCTAATCATCACAATACTGACAGTAAATACCACTGTAAATATACTGTATATTATTAATTTGTAAATATGCAACACATAAGTTACAGATGTCCACCATGAAAATCACCACACCGGGAAAAGTGATTTTAAAGCCAGCATGTGTCACACTGTATTATCTCTATGTGTGATGGTAAACATGCAAAATGCGCCTTCCTCTGGGGGATATCTTCAAATACAATTTGGGCACATGCTAAATCCCTGTACGCGATGTCACCCTGCTAATAAACTCTGTATTGAATAGCACAGACCTCATTGCACTGCAGTCATTTCATTTATTTTCATTTATTTGTTTATTTGACAGGGACAATGCTCATCAATCAACAGTAAAATCGACTATAAATGAGCCAAAGTTAGCTCAACAGGCTAATTTTCATCTGTTGTTGGCCAATTTTTAAAATGGTTGCCTAAAGTCCTACTATTATTTTTGATTCATTATTTAGTGAATGCATTATAACCTAATCCATTTATGCATGGGAAAAAATTCACAATCCATCCAAGTCAAATTTGATTTGTTTAGCCCATATTCACAAACCAAAAGTAATTGCTGCATATTTCAGACAATGTGTCAATGGTGTTTTTTAGACTTTACTCTTAATTGAGCGTTGTGCTGCCAGTTTTTGTGTTGCTTCAATAACTATTTATCACTATATCTCACTGGCAGAGTTGTTTCCATAATGTTTAGTTATATCAGTATTCACTTGATAGTTGATGAAACCAAATTAAGATGAGATGGAAATCTTTCCCTTAGTTCAGTTGGCACATTTTAATCGAATACTGAATGGTATATGTCTTTATATTTAGGGTCTATAATCTTTATCCTATTTACTATTTATACTACTATCTAAGTATCTGATTCTTTGTGGAGGTTTATTCCAGTTAGTGAAGGAGTTTTTTCTCCACAGTTGCCGAAGTGCTTGCTCATTTGGAGAACTGTTGGCTTTCTCTATACATTTTAAGGTCTTGACCTTATTATGTAATGATTTGGCCATTAAAACTTAACTAAATTGAATATCTTTTATTATAATTCATTCATCTTTTTGCTATGGATTTTTTTGATAAGCAATTTGTATAAACTTCTTATAAATACAGTTATTATTATTATTGACCTAAGATTCAATTTACCCTGATATTTGAATACTACACATTCAATCAATCGGTAATTTGGGTACGGAAACTCCCTGCATTTCCTAATGGTCTGTCTACAGTATAGGCTCAGACACACATGAGCTGTCACAAGTCATTGAATGTGAAAGTTAGTGTGTGTGTCTGTATCACACGTTGAGGTTAGATTCCTCAGGCATCAGACTGACAGGCCACTGATCTTTCAGGAAAACACAGGAACGTCAAGCCAGGCAGAGTTAGCCTGATAAAACAAAAAGGAAGTCAATGATAATCCTTCAGAATAAACAACAACCAGCATTGAAGAGATGGTTTACGGATTAACTATATATTACATTATAAAAGACACACTTTTTACCACATTAAGTCTTTGCTTGACAACTTTGGAACTGCTCTTAACATTTCACGTTTGCATCATGAAATCATGTTCACTCTTGGGGTCATTGTTTTTATGTAAAACCTGTGTTTGGCTCTCGGCTATCTATCTGTCCGTCTGTCCATCAATATAATTCTATTTGTATAGCCGAATTGGTCAAGTGCATCAACGCTGTCATGTCACATAAGGCTTACTTCTCCGTAGGCCTGAATATATCCATGTTGGTGCTTGGTATCCTTCTCGTCCGAGGCTTTTATTTCGAAAGGCCCAGGATGCAGTTGCCCCGGTGTGAACGCACAGACAGTGAGAGGCTTCACCGGGGGCTGGCTCATCCTGGGCTGCATTTAAGACGGAGCTGCGGCAGCTGCACACACATTCAAAGGCTCCTCTCCTCCTCCACCTCTTCCACACTGCAGCTCTCCTGGATGGTGGAGCCATTTGTGCTTTACATTCTGCTGCAGTTGCTGCTATTTTATTTATTTAAACACACAGGATAACGGGACGTGATACGGACATTTTACGCTCCGGATTTTACGCGTCTATATACGGTAGGTACGGGCAGCTGTCGGGATCCTGCAGCAGCACTGGGTCTGTGTGGGCAGGAGAAGACGCGAAAAGGGGAATCTACGTTTATGTGAAAGGACAGATTATTACTGTCACATCCATCATTATGTTATTTTATTCTCTAGTATAATGAAGGACATGTCGTATACTGTAGCCATTTGTAGGTTTGAAATGATAACACGGTGTCTTTTGATCCAAACTGACGTTTATTTTGCTGTTTTCATTCCAGTCGAGCCGCGTCAAGATGATGCTGCACTGAGAAAGACGCAAAGGCTCCCCCCTGGTTTGAGCTCATCCTGAGGCTGCAGTGCACGGAGGAGGTTATTGCGGTATAGCAAGGTTAATAATCACCGTCGATAAAGGTCGTCTCTGCGAGCAAGGAAGCGACTCGAACATCGCCCCTGTGCGGGGGGATCGGCGGAGAGATAAAGATCCATAAAAAAATTATGGCCAACCTACTGCGGAAGATCGGTCTGATCCGTCTGCACGACCGAGATACAGAGGACCCAAAGCACCACCAGGGCTCGTTAAAGGGGACCAAGGGGAACCAGAAGAACAACGCCAACAAGCACTGTCAGACCGCCAACGAAGCCAACATCCTGAGCACGCCCGAGATCAAGGCGAGGAAGCTGGACCAGCACGGCAAGGACAAGCCGAGCGGCAAGGATAAGCAGGGCAAGGATGCGAAGGAGAAGCAGCAGACGGGGGGAGGCGGCAGCAAAGCGACCAGCGCCTCCTCGATAGCACCGCTGGCGCCTCACCGGCAACACTGCACCCAGGTCCGGACGCGGCGGCTGATGAAGGAGCTGCAGGAGATCCGGAGGTTAGGGGACAACTTCATCACGGTGGAGCTGGTGGAGGACAACCTGTACGACTGGAACGTCAAACTGCACCAAGTGGACAAGGACTCGGCGCTGTGGCAGGACATGAAGGAGACGTGCACCGAGTTCATACTGCTCAACGTCACCTTCCCCGACAATTTCCCCTTCTCACCGCCGTTCATGCGGGTCCTGACGCCCCGGTTGGAGAACGGCTACGTGCTGGACGGCGGGGCCATATGCATGGAGCTGTTGACCCCCCGCGGATGGTCCAGCGCCTACACGGTGGAGGCGGTCATGAGGCAGTTTGCGGCCAGCCTCGTAAAAGGACAGGTGAGGGTGACGGGTCCTTGGAATATCACCAACCAATGGGGCATGTCAGTCATCTCTACTACATTCATTTCAGCCATTAAACACACTGGATAAGTACAATTTCATCAGGCATCCATGCGTAATTAACGTTTAAAACTGCTTTTACGCAGACAAACGACGTGCTCCATGGCACGGCTGTTGCTCTTACTTTATATCTTAAACCACTATCTCTTGATATTCAGTAGGGAAAATCGTGTCTTAGGTAATTGCATCTGTTTTTAATGGAAGTCAATCATAAACTCTTATAATCATAATCTCTTATGTCCTGAAACATCCAAATAGGAACACTTGTTATTCTTTTTAATTTCCAAGGGTAATTATCATCACAAAACGAGATTGTTCAGTAGAATTTGTCTTTATTCTGTACCTGTGGTCTATTTATAGCATTTCCCTCTCACAGCTGTGGGGGCTGCACTGTAGCCTCCTCATCCCACCCCCTCCTCTCTGCCATGAGCAAAGCCATGATTGGGAATATTATTAATCTTTATGTGACTTTACGGCGGCCATTTCATGCAGTGCAGTGCAACGCTCAGTATCTCCTTGATGCCAGCTCTTCTCTGCGGTCCTGCTTTGCTCTCTTTTATCGCCTACATAAATCAGCTTCCTCTGACAGCTGAGGCCTGCCGCCATGCAACGGAAAAGTCCCCAATGCAGGCTGTGATGCAGTGTCACAATAGCTGCAATCCCATCAGATTGAAGAAGACATGTATTCAACACTTGCAAAAGCGTGGTGATGGATGGAAAGACGGATGAATAGAGACAGCAGGTAGCCTACCTACCAGCAGTCCTCATGTAGGGATTTAGACAGACTGGGTTATGTAATCCTGTCAAATCTGTTTTTCACATTCTCTGTGCACTGCAGCAGCAGCAGCAGCAGCTCTGCAATTGCAGTGGAAATAGCTGCATCTCTAAATGCACTCCAGGCAATAATCATTTATCTCTGACAAGATTTTCTGTTTTCCAACCGGATAGGAAGTTTTCTTATTTGCTTTTTAAGCGCTCACTTTCATGTAATTTCCATTCATCTCATCTGTGGAGGCTGCTTCGTTCACCTCACTCACTCTCGGTCTTTTGACGTCAGCACTGTGACACGGCTGAGGCAGGAGACCTTATGTAAGCTGTCACTGGATTCTCCTGCCCAACCCCCAAACCTTAGTGCTTTTTTTGATTGTGCTTTGTGAATTCATTTAAGGTTGTGCCTGAATCATATGTGGCCATTAAGAAATTACCAGGAAAGGTTATGCAAGAGCTGTACCAAAAGCAGAGAGAGAAAGAGAGATAGAGTGTGTGTGTGTGTGTGTGTGTGTGTGTGTGTGTGTGTGTGTGTGTGTGTGTGTGTGTGTGTGTGTGTGTGTCTATTAATTTTGATTTGCCGCTTGAGGAGATGAGCTTGGAGCACCGCAGTGCTCCCTAATTATAGTGAAGTGTCTTCCTTCGCCAATGGAAACTATTGATTAATTATTCCCGTGTGTGTGTGCATGTGTGTGTGCATGGCTTTTTTTTCACTTTTGTGGATGTGTGTGTCAACGCAGGCGATTGCATGCATTCCGTGTCCTAATTTTCTGGGAGATGCGCTTGTCTGTCTCTCATGCATCCTGACAAACACGGCACACAGAACTATATATAAACCTAAACACACACAATATATTTATCTGTCCTTGTCCCGGTGACAATAGCATTGTGGCTTCTTTAGAAACATCATCTCTATTTTTAGTGTGAGAGGATGCACGCTGTCACGGAATGATGAGGTGAGAGTCAACAGAGCTAGAAGTGCCCTCACCTGCAGAGATCGACCATCAGTCTGGCCTTCTCATGTGAAATTTCCAAGTCTAAGAACGCCACAGTGTAATCTATCTGTATGGCAGTGAATATACCCCTTTAGTGCTGTGCAGGTGGTAAAAAAGAGCTCTAGTGTGGGCAGCAGGTTTTATAAAGGCGTGAGCATATTAGGAAATTGATCTGTGATTCTGTTTTGATCCGTGGTTCTGTTTCTATACACTGTTTCTATGTACATCGGTGTAGTTTAAATTACCAGTGCAGTGCGTGTTGTAAACCTGCCTGTTTGGAGTTGTTTGTTCTCTTGGCCTGTGTTGATGCTCCGGAGCTAGTTCAGAGTTATTCCTTGTCATTAGTGAGTTTATGATGCAAAATAAGTTAGAAAACTTGGTGTTCATCCTGCCTGGTTTGTTTGCAATGAAGAGTTTATAGTCAATTTTTTTCATTTGCTTCTTTGCTATCTAAGGATTCAGGGAAAACAATCAATTCAAAGGGTTTTCCTGCGACTCTATCGTGATCTCATCAGGTTATACAACTAGTTTCAGAGGTTGACTTGTTGCAATTAGTACATTTCTCGTGTTACATGAGGGGAGCAGTCCTTTAAAGTTTCCTGTTTGCTGTGGTGGATTTCATTGTTCTGTTGAAGTAAATTTTTACAGAGTGCAAAGGTGAAACTGAAAGATGAAGCAGGACAAATGACTTATACTTAAAAAAAACAGTGGCATTACCCTTTAATGATCCCACCATCAGTCCCATCAATACCCACGGGGCTCCTCCTCTGACTGATCTGATGAGGATGATGATGATGACATTGATCCCTGTTTGTTTATCAAGGTCCCTTTAAGCACATGTCTGCGTTATGCAATCCCTTTTTCCCCCCGAGCTGCTTCCCAACATGCAATGGGGCCGTCCCGGTCAGCCCATTGACTGATTCCCATTCACACGATTACCCAGCAGCCACTTTACACAAGTGCGTCCCTCTCCACGAGCAAGCTTAGCTGAAATAGACAAACACTGACATGGCACTGCATAAGCCTGGGAGCCCTCGCTAAACTGAACTGCAACATACACACACACACACACACACATACACACACACACACACACACACACACACATGCACTCTCTTTTGTTTGCCTGTTCTTTTCCTCACGAGCAGATATTTTTACTTTCTCTCTCCATCTTTGCCTTATACCAGTCTGTTCTGGTGGATAAACGTGAGCACAATGCTGCTAATTAATGCTCAATATCCCCCTTGGGCTCGTTAATCAATTCACACATTCAGAAACTGATTTTTACTTTCAAACACACACATCTCAGGTCCTAGTCTATATCTGCTTCTTCATCGAATGTTGTTCCTACACACGTCCGCTCTCCATAGAGAACAAGCCAATGAGAAATTGCTGGCTCTTGTGTGTAAAGACGAGTACACAATGCTCACAGCAATTGGGTTTAATGGCAGCACAATGTTCAGCTGAGGGTATATTCATCCCTGCCATCGATCACCATGGTAATCACACCTCTTTAACAGCGACCAGCCAATCGCCATAGCAACATCAATTCAAGACAGTGGCCACCATCTTGAGGTGGTGACAGCTTCCATATGGCAGGATGCAAAGATATGCATCGATAATGAAGATATGTGTGAATTGAAAACATATATAGCAGCTTGTGAAAATGTCCACCCGGTGCATTGTCTTCATTTGTCAGCCCGGGCTGCTCGTATTCCAGGCTTCTGGCTGCACAGAGAGGCTGAGCAGGTTTCAGGCAGCTTTGCTTCAGTGTCCCCCACTCCGTTTTGTTTTCCACTTTAAAGGCTGGGTGGATCAGTTGTTTGAAAAAAGAGAATGTTGTCTTTTAATCTAACTTTGTAAAAGAGAGAAACAGAAACTACGTCCTCAAGGGACGCTGCATTTAATGTCTCTGAATGAGTCCCACATTAAGACATGCATTCAGGTTTTTAAAACGAGCTAAAACTAAAATCCCACAAAAAAAGGAAAGTTGCTTTTGTTTGTTTCCAGCAAAAAATCTACTTCAAAACTACTGTCACTGGCAGTGAGATCAGCCATATTTACACTCTCTCAATCCTCTGCCTCCATTTGAAGGTTCTTTTGTGTCAAATTCTGAGACTGAGACACTCTGTGAAACTGAAGGTGGACATTTGTAGCAAGTCTGGATTTCAGTATTGTTTAGGAGCTCCGTAGTGTGTGTCTGTCTGAGAGACAGAGAGACAAAGTGACAGAGTGTGAGTGTCGCTAAGCCTCTGCTGTGAAATGAGGCCAGTGTTGCTACAGGAATGGAAACTGTAACCCTAATCTCCAGATCATTCAATGTTATCACCTCATCTCCCTTCATCCCCTGCATCACATCTGACCCAAAATAGCCAAGCAAGTACGTAACGGGACATACTGATCATTCATCAGATGTCATGAGAGTGAAGACGTAACAGTGGGCTTTATTTAATGTTTTTCATCGCATGGAGAATCATGCAGTCCAAAAAGTAGTCCTGAAATCCACCTTTTGTTTAAGAAGGTGGATGATTTAAACAATGCCCATGTGTTCTACTGATGTGGTGCATTACTGAAACAGATTATTGTTATCTTTCATTTTTACCCAAATCACATAATTAGGCTCTTAAATTTGCAAATAAGTTTAAAATAGGCATATTGTAGTTTTACTCTCTACTAACACAAATCTCAATGATAAATACAACACTACCAGCCACTTTATATTCAGTGCGCAGTGGGGCTAATTCTTTACCAGCTCACACAGCAATGGGACTAAGGTATTAATGTGTAACTAGGTCCTGCTGACAAAAAAACGAACTCACAAAAAGTATTTCAGTCATGAAAATGCAGATGACTGGAAGTTTGTTTTAGGCGCTCAGAGCATAAAAAATGAATTCAAAATTATTTATAAAATCAGCAGCAAATGATTTTTCAGAATCACTGTGCTGCTAACTGTGGCCTGACTGTGGAAATCTTCTTTTTTCAAATAAGAAATAATCTTGACGTAAACTGCTGACACTTTTTGTAGATTATCTGTAACAAGATACCACTAGCTGAGAAACAATTTCTTGGCCAGAGATTCAATAAGATAAGATAATGTAGAGTAAATAATACAATTGAAAAACCATACACATGGCAGTTTTTTCCAGTTTAAAGATAAAAGTTGTATAAATGTGCAATTTGTCCAAATTCTTTGCAATTTGCAATATACAATATATGCAGCAATATCTTTAATATTTTTTGTATTTAACAAACACCATCTAAGGTGTCAGCTCTGCAACAGATTCACCTGATGTCCACTCTACTTTTTTGGAGCTGCTGAAACCGAGAAGTTTGGAAGCGTTACTTGCCCCGTTTTAGTTTGAACATTTTGGGGCTGCATTGTAGAACGAAACAACCGCCATTAGCTTCGGCTATCAGTGTAAGACACAACATGGACAATCAATTACAAGTGTTGTTAACACTGTTGTCTTTGGCACCAGTTAAATTCAGCATTTTACAACTACCATTTATCTGCAACAATTCCTGAAGCACGATTGGAAAGTTGATCATGTTCATCATTATGTTACAGTGGCTAACCCCTGCAGGTCTTTTAGGTGTGGAAAACAGCTCCATTTGTCCAGTGTTTCTCAGTTGAAAAAAAGGTTCAGGAGCACGACATATGAAGGTTTTAAGGCTGTGGATGTATAATGATAGGGGTATTTTATCCATGCTGCACTGCAGAGTGCAGAAGAGCTTGTCATCTGAATGAATTAAATTAGTATTGCTTTCAGTGGAGCGTCAGTGGAGTGTCCTCTACCATTTTCTCTCTGCCTAGACAGTCGGCCAGAGGGAAAAGGTGCGATGTTAGAGTGTTGAGAGTAGTGAGTCAACGACAGCACAGTTTGAAGCTGCGGTACATGACCAGTGGACAAAGATTCACTGTGCAGTTTGAGGTATTTGCTTCCCTTTGTGCTGTTCCTGTGTTTCGGAAGTGATTTTTTTACACCTAAAACGATGCATTTCAAACTCACATGAATCATGTCTTTGTCATGGCTGTATATCTTCCCTTTTCAACACCAAGACAGTTGTTTCTATTTCTATTCATCCTCCCACACACTCCTCTTTAGGGAAGACAGCACCGCTGCCAACTACGGAATAAGCAGCTTTATCATCACAGGCAACACCCACACCTCTTTTCTTCATCTTTTTCTCCCCGTGTCATCCCAAGTTTATTATTAGCCCCATTGTTTGAAAAGAGGGAGGGTTTCAGCAAGGTGGTGCCTGGGCAGTGATGTCCAAGTTATATGTCATTACACTGAGCACAAGAGGGTTACATGCTCACATATTTATTTTCTGTCATATTTACAAGCTTTTCATCATTTAGTCCTCTCCTCTGATCTCTGTGTTGCTCAGTGTAATGGAGGATATATTTTCACTTCTGATTGAACCTGACGTTTTAAAAGCCTTTAAACATTGATCTAATGTTGATCATCCTGCGTTCAGACCACTTGTCCTGTCAACATCTGCATGTGTGGGCTGAGTCTCCATCTTTCTATATTTTGCCTGAAAAGACATGAAACTGTTTTTATCCAGAGCTTCATCCACAGCTGACTATTTTGATCAAAGACGCCATATGTTCGTTTGATCTGAAAATGAATATCCAGCTCAGACAAATAATATTTTGACGTTTGCTGTTTTCTACATTTTCACCATTTCATTGTTCTTTTAAGGAAACAAAGAAAAAATCAAAGTTGACGTGCAAAAATTATTAATTACCTCTTGCTCAAAGTCACTTATGTGTCAAATCTGTTCATTATTGTAGTACTTTCCAGTGAGATCAAGTAGAGGAAGAAGAATGAACTGATAGTAAGGCAAAGTTGTGTAAATTTTCTCCCGGAATGTTTTTATTTTCCTGCAAACAGAAATGTTTTATATTTCAAGCAAAAGCTCAAATTATTCATCGGAGTATGATGATGTGTGAGTGTGAGTAAGTCTTTAGGTTTTTGACTTTTAAATGCTGTAGTGGATTTAGATATGGCCAACATGGGCACCAAAAAAGGTGAGAGAAGAGGAGGGGGGCGGGGGTTGGTTAGAGCAGTCAAGTCAGCCTTCATTCGTGTCTATGTGGTCACACCAGCTGCCCCTTTATTTGGAGTACGACCCATATTCTGACCTTTATGGTAAATGTTGACATCCTGACATGACATGAGCAAAGTGTAACACTTCAGGTAAGAGTGGCTTCAGTCACCTAAATTCTTACACATAGTTGATTTTGTCAGCTTTAAAGAATACATCTATCTCCATTATCTTATGGTTATGGCGACAAACAAAAATATCTTCTCTACCTCGTAGCAAAGATCCTTGACTTTAAACATCAACAACTAATGTATTGTTCTGTGGCTCAGGATATGTTTGTCTGTCTAATTTTGTATAAATGTATTCATTTCATCCATCCATCCGTTCTTCTGACTGCCAGACAGACAGATGTATTATGTGTAATTAGCTTCTTTGGAGGACACAGTCAAACTTCCCTTGTCTTCTCTAAAAAACATCTATGGCTGGAAATCAACTGATTATAAAAAAAAAAAATTCATATTTTTTTAACCTGTTCTGATTTATTTATTTGTTTTTTTCAAATTACATTACAATGCATTATTATTATCATTATTACTAGTGCAGTGCTCATTATAAGTCTGTCTTTGTGACTTTGTTTTCATCCTACCTGGTTTATCTGCAATGAAGATTTTGATTCAATTATTTAATAATTCAGTAATTTGCTGCTGTTATTTTTTCATACTGGTCATTTCAGAGGTCTGTTAGAGCAGCCAACACAATCTTCAGACCCAAGTTTACAACTCTTCAAAATAAAAGCTCTGTAATTCAGCTCAATAGAAAGCATTGTAGCAACAAATGAATGGTGTGCTTTTACTTTGAAGAAAAATTGGCAAACAGTGATTTTGTGGATGTTGTTACCATGATGGAGATCAGCACTTGTCGGAGGTCTTAGTCTGTCTGAGTCTCAGTCTGACATGCAACCCCACCAAAACTTTCCTTTGTAATTGTCCTGTTAGTAGACTTCTGTTTTTTCTATTTTCACATGACCTAACCCAACATTTCCCTCCCACTCCCTTCTCTCTTTCTGTCTGTATCGCTCTTTCCTTACAGGGACGTATATGTAGGAAAGCAGGAAAATCCAAGAAAGCGTTCAGCCGTAAGGAAGCCGAGGCCACCTTCAAGTCCCTGGTGAAGACCCACGAGAAATACGGCTGGGTGTCTCCGCCTGTGTCTGACGGCTGAGTGTTCAACTGCCGACCCCTTGACCCCGCGCTAGCCGGACAAACCCAGCTAGCTCTGACACACAAAACGACACACCACGCTAACTCAACAATCTTTCATCTTTACCTTTTGCTGTTTTACTAAAGAGCTTTTTTTCTCAGTTTCGTGGGTCTGTGTTGCTATTCTTTGTTGTTTTTTTGTCGTTCCATCACCACCAAAACTCTCAGAGAGGAGACACACCATCATCGTCGTCTCTGCTACACCAAGAAGTGACTTTCGTTACCCTCCTTCTCGCTCAGAGAGATTTTTTCCCCCAATTTGGAAAGGCCTGAGAGGGAATTGTGCGTGTGTGTGTGTGTGTGTGTGTGTGTCACTCCATCAGACATCAGCTGGGAGTGTGTACATGTGCATTGGGGTGTGCGTTACTGTTGTTGGATTTCTTGTTCTGTTGTTTTTCAGCGCACACCCATGCACGTGCAGTCAGACAAATCGAACTGTGTGGACTTTTCCACCCATGAGAAAGACTACTAAATGAAGGAGGTTCATCCCCCTCTCCTCTCCTCTCACCATCCCATCCGTTCCTTCTCTTCCCCTTTTCTTTCGACTGTGCCGTTGCTCACAGTTCAATGCAACATGAAGATTGTAATTTACATGGAGCTGTGCTCTCTCTCTCTCTCTGTCTATTTCTTTAGCTAGCTCATTCGCTTTGTTTCTCTTTCTTTCTCTGCGTCTCTTGTGGCTAAATCTAGCGCTCACTGTTGCATATATGGATATTGATTTCCAATGGAGGAAATAAAGTCACATGTTGCTTTATGCAGAGACTATGTATGATAAAGAAAATGACAGTCAGTCACCTCTCTCTCTCTCTCTCTCTCTCTCTCTCTCTCTCTTTCTCTCTCTCTCTCTCTCTCTTTACTCTCATGTTATCGAGTGTGTGTGTGTAGGACAAGAAGAAAACTGTAATTCCCATGATTTAGATACCAGATGGTACAGTTAAATGTCAGGCCTAAGTTTGTGTGTGTGTGTGTGTGTGTGTGTGTGTGTGTGTGTGTGTGTTTAAACTTAAAAATATGATTTACTGTGAATAACACTAAGGCCTAAAAGGAGTGCTTTTTTTTTTTTGAATGACTTGTCGACGTCTTGTTCCACTGTTGAAGTCCGCTCCCGAATATTACTACTGTACACGTGTGTGTGGTTGTGAGCGAATATCTACGTGCACGTACCTTCATTTTGGATCCATGTAAAGAACTTAAGGTCAGTAGAAAATAGGCTTTAGCAGGGCTTCAGTTGCGCACACACATACACACATTTTCGCACAGGCATGTTGCTTCCACCTGTGGCCTTATGGCAGCGGTAACACCTAGAAATGAAGACGGGGGGAGCTTGAGTGCTGCCATGGATGCAGCAGTACTTTAATTGAGTGTACACTTCACTGCCCACCTGATTGATGTCTGCTGAAAAAGAGGCAAAATTTGAGAGGAGGGAATTGTGGGAGTTTTGATCACTGCTTCTCGGAAATGTCAAGCAGCTCGCAAAATGGCCAAAGACAATTATTATTAGCTCTACCTGCTGCGATTACTTCGGGGACACACTGCTCCTGAGTTCCAACCTATAAAAGGACTTCATAAATATCTTATATCAAGTCTGTGGCTGCAGCGATGTCAGTTTCAATCAATCGGGCGCCTTCTACTCACAGACTGTCTGTCCATCCAGTCCAGCAGGCTCCTTGTGTGTTTGTTTTGCTGTCTGACAGTTAAATGTCAGAGGGAAAGCTGCTAATTGGTCTGACATTTCAGGGGAGCGTCGTTAGAGAAGAGCAGCGAGAGCAGAAGGACGGATGATGTCAAACCTCCTGCTCGGCAATGACATTTAGTCACTTTCCGCTCCTGCCCTGTTTCTTTGGAGGAAGTAGGAGAGGGCAGAATGTGGGTTAGGCGAGACAGGGGTAGAGTAGGAGTTCAGCTTTCCGCAGGTACAACCGTCATGTCACCAGGATGTTTAAACCGCTGAACTGAAGCCAAGCCTGCGCTGCCAGCACGCCATGCTCAGATCGGGCTACGCTGCCTCTCAAAGTCCCCCTTGTGTCACGTCTGTGATCGATAACAAATGTCTGTCTGTGTGTGAGTGCATGTGTGAGCAAATATGTGCATTACGCTCCAACCACGATGAAAAAAAGAAAAAAAACCACACACCATCTGGTATGTTATCATGTGTGAAAGCGTTAGTCCTCTTTGAATTTGGCTAGTCATTTCAGGGTCGATCGTATAGTGATCTCTCAGCTCGTCAGCGGAGAAAACTGTAAACTGAATTATTATTAAGACAAAATATCTCAAAAGCTCAGTGTTTGCTGGTTTCAAGAGAATAATTTTGTGATATAGTTTAGATAGGTAGTTTGCAGACACTAACTGGGTGAACTGATTATGTTGTATTATATCTGCATGTGCTATGTGATTGGTAGCTAGCTACTGTATATCTTTTTTCAAGAAAAGCAAGAAGAAATATGGTGAAAAAACAAATGCAAATGCTTTTCTTTTCTTGGGCTATTTTTTGGGGGGTTCTGTACTGTATGTATTTTTTTTTCTTTCTAAGCGTCCTAAAAATGTCACATTGTGTTATGAATGTTTGTGTTTTAATTTATTTGTGGTTTGCCAAAATGAAGATTTGAAGCATGTTGCAGGTATTGTCACAAGAAAACAAGAAGAAAAAAAAACGTACTATGAATGATAGCCTTTGTATTTTGTGTGATGGGGGAAGGTACGTTTATTTTGGGGGGATTTGGGGGAGTTAAGAAGGACAAAAGGTTGCAAAGCCTCAAAATTTTAAAAGGAGTATTTCCTTCACTGGGACTGCATTAAAGAGGAATCAAGACAATTCCTATGCTTCCTTGAATACTTCCCAGGCCCCTCCATGATGTCACTACTGTCTCATCCCCATTGGTCCTGCTGTAGACAGTGCTGTGTTATGCAGTCAACACAAAGATCTGGACTTAAAATTCCCCTGCAGTCTCACATCTGGGATCAGTGTGACCTCCCTATGCTTCAAATCTAGTTAAGGGAATCTGACCTTTGATCAGTAATTCTGGGCAACGTCGTCCCACTACTGACCCACTACTGAGTGATTGGTCAAGACAGAGGTCTTAAAAGTTCCGAAGGTGAAAGGTCGTTGCAAGACCAAACAGGAATGTGCAATAAAAGTTACAGCTTATTCAATCTCTGCTTATGTGGTGGTTTTCTTTCATATCAGCATTATGACCTATGATGTCACTCCAGGGACGTTTCTGAGCACTCCCCCCGCCTCGACACATGCATACATTTCAATGACCCACTTCAGGCTGCTGTGTCCTCTGCCTGGCCCCTGCATTGTCCCACTTTGATTTACTGCAGTCCTTACATCCTCAGTGAGGACACACTGAAATCGTCCATGGCCTACTCATTTGTGTTCATCAGACAGTCTCCTGCTTGATGTAAACAGTGGTTCCTCTGTGTGTGTTACTGCGGTCCAGGTATTAGTTATGGAAGGACATACGTACATCTGTTTACACACTCACATTTCGTTGACTTGACAAAATGCAAATCCCCGTAATGTCAATCATTGAATTTTACAGGATGAAGACATGTTTTAAGGTTAGGTTTAGGTTAAGGTTAGAGTAAGTATTATGGAAATGAATATATGTCAATGTAATGTTCTCTGAAGTGACCGGGTATGTGTGTGTGTGTGTGTGGAGAGAGATAAAGGATGTATTTCTGCTGATCATAACAATCAAGCAGTTTTATGAGGGTATTTGCATGTGTACTATCTAAAATGAGAAAAAGAAGCTCCCATGTGTTCCACAACACAAACCTTCGTGTAGGTTTCATCTACAGAATATAGTTTTGTGAGGCCCAGCATCTGTACAGGTTTTCTTTGCAGTGAGGGTTTATTACTGACATTTCTTGTGTTACTTTTTCTCTCACTTAAGTTGTTTTCAGACATGAACTCCAGAAAAATGGGTCCAGACATTTTCAGGACTTTGCCTTTCACATATGAAGAATGCACCAGGAGACTGTCTGGGTTAGATGTGTTCACAGCAACAGGACAATTTCTGAAACATTTAAGAGAGAGGTGGTGTCCGTAGAGGCAGGAGAAGCACATACAGTGTTTTTGTTTACTGCACTCGCGTGTGACCTTATCACCAAAAGTTTTCGTTGTCCTTGGGGCTGGCAGGAAATCTTCAAGAAAACATATGGAGCAACTCCGGCATAATTTCAGGAAAATGTCTGGACTTCAGTGGGTGCCCGCAAGCCGCTCCATAGAGAATTAGTGTAGGCAATATGCAACATGTTGATTCCTGCCAAGTTGATGTTGGAAATGTTCTAATCAATGAGTTTGATGAAAAAGCCAGGATGATGAACAGTATTACTATGATCCAGACTGTATTATTAACAAGACATGCAGAGTGTCCCCCCCCCCCCCSCTTTCCYCCTTTAGTTGCACTGGTTTGGACAGGAGGGATGACACCTCCATGATCCTCACTGATACATGCTGACATCATGTAAATCCAAGGTAATTCCACCCACCTCCAATCCGAGCAGGGGCTGTAATCAGATAACCAATAGTGGCATATGTGTGCAGGGTGTTTATGACAAGAGAAAACCTGACGACAAAGCACCTGAACTGATCTCGCTGCAGTAACATCTTTGACGTGTAGGGAGAAACAACAAAATGAACAATAGCTCTGTTTGTTCAAAGATCTGCCCACAAGACCCTCGAAATATTTACTTGACACAACCGGAGTGTGAAACCAAAACGTTTAGGCTTTTCCAGGATTGAATTGGCGTCATGGAAACTTACATGGATAGAATAGGAACGAACTTTAAATTAAACCCAAATTAGACTTTGTCAGCACCTGCAGCAGGTAACACTCATATCTGCTGAACTGCAAATTATATACCCCCCGGCCACACACACACACACACACACAATGCTTTCATCATTGCTGACATAACCCAATTAATTGATCCCTGAACACTCTTGTTTTTGTCTACTTGATATTTCTCCACTGCTCATTAGGGCCATAGAGAGACAGAGCTGTGTATGGTTCAGAGAGAGCAAGCGAGATAGTAATGACACCATGCTCGATATTCTGAGGACATGGAGCAAGCACAGATGCATAATTATCTGATTAGTTAACACAGTGTGCAGATAGGGGGCTGTATGGCAAAATTTGAATGTGTGTGTTTGGTGCACTTGCGCTCGAGTTCAAGCATCAGACAAAAACATTCATTATTCAAATGACACAGTAAGAATCAATCCCCTGAAGGGGGCAGAGTGAGATGAGCGAGGGGAAGGTGACCCCGCCACACACCCCAAAGGAAGTGTTTTTATGTGATTTGTAAATGTAACACACCGCGTGATGAAATGGCACCGTGACACAACTTAAAAAACTTAACACACGTATGAAACCTGTTTTTTCACAGGGCAAGCTTGCTGGAAGAAGACTTTATCGCTTGGTGACGAGATGGTGGATGTAGTGCAGCGTAAAACCACAGCCCTATATGGATCTGTGAAATAGTTTTTCTTCTTTCAGAGAAATAATATTACTTTAGGTCAAGTCAGAGGACACATCTGTGCAGCTAGTATCGCAGCACTGTGTGCGATTCAATGACAAAAGCTCAGATTGATCCTTTAAGGTGTCTGTCGCTGATATCTGAGCTGATTTCCAAATGTGTGTGTGTGTCTGTCTGTAAACCACCATAATCTCTGTCTATCAAATTCGGGTTGCGTTTTGGCATGACGTCACTGCCATGCGCCAAACATACAACTAATCTACAAGTGAACAAAGCGTTGCAAAGCGACGTAGTGATGCCTTGTAGATCTGTAGACAACAAGACCATGCCGTTCCAGGGAGAATGAAAGTGACGTACAACAACAATAACAGTGCTCTTTGAATGAAACATCGTAGACCGGCTACAGTGGGATTGATACGGATTCATTGACCTGCTTGGACCTAAGCTATGCGTATTCTTTTTTATGCCACTCGCGGAGATGGGACGTCATGTTAGATGTATTCGCCGATCTTGCAACTAGTTTCCTGTTGCATAGTTTGCAAGTCGGCTCTCCGTCGTCCTTTATGGATCCATCCGGTGGTTTTGGGTAGCTTAAAGACTCCCGAACAAATGAACGGAGTCGCTTGGCCGGAGGATAAAGAGGTGGTGAAGCAGGGGACACCGGGTGAACCGGGCCCGCGGGTGAATCTGCCTCTGGTTCGGAGTCTGCCATCATCAAGCCATGCTGTTTTCATGTGGGTCTCGCGTGTGTTTACCAAAACTACCTTTTCGATCGGACTGTCACTGAACCAACTAAAAGACGCTGACCATGCAGCCTGCCCTGAACTAAATGGAATATACATTTGAGCAGCACACAGGTAGGAAACGCTTTTTCAATCTACTGCTGCAGCTGTACAATTAGATTCTAATGTGACAGAGTGAGACCACCACTGATCTTAATGTGAACCTGAAGTGAAAGGTTTTATTTGTGAGTTCCCTACTCGTGCAAGTGGAGTTGCGCTGGCAGCACCACTAAAGATAAAAATCAACTTAAGCTGGTTAAAAAATAACAAACCAGTATGCTAATCATGGTATTGTATTTTATTTGTTTAATTTGTACACAAGTAAAAAAAAATGCAAGCTATCCCTTGTACCTTTCCACAATAGGAGAATGAATGGTATCAATCTTCTCACCTAACTCTCAAATACAAAGTGAATAAAATATGAAAGTTATTGTGTCTTTGGGAGACACTGAGGTATTTTAGCTTTGGGGATTTGTTCTTGGCAAAATGGTTGTTGATTAATATTCTGTCAATTGACCAATTAGTTTATTAGTAAAACACTCTGATAGTTACCTTCACAGGTGCAGACAATGAAATATTTGTATGTAAGTAGACAAAATAAATAGTTATAACAAGACAAGTGAAATAAGGTCACACAGGAGATGCGTGCTGCACCACACATGTATATATCGAACTATCACACACACAGAAACACTTGCTGTTGAACTGGTGACAGAGTTAATGTCAAGAGGATCAGTAGAGGCAGGAAGGGCTTTTAAAGGGATCAGAGAAGAAAAACCAGGAGAGAGCAGAAATCTCTGGGGAGAAGCCTTCAAATAGGCTGTGTTGAATTATAGATCCCACCTCCTTCGCCTCGTATAAAGCAATCCATGATGCATATAGCTGTCATTCCACATGTATGAAGGGCTGGAGGTGCTGCTGCATCAATGATGTATGGATCACACCTTATATATTATCTGATGATCATGTTAATTCCCACATGATGACATACTGCACATGATGCTGTTTGGGAAAATGTTGGAGCATCGGTGGAAGGATGCTTTGACTTCACAGCAGGATGAGAAATAACGTGTAATATTGTGCACATAAGTGATGCCATGCAGCTCCAGTGTGGGATGAGCTGAAGCTTTACTGTGCAGAGTGAGGGACACTGGATTTCACTCTATACAGGCTGCATGCATTATGCATCCATGCCCAGTATATGCTGGTGTCTCACTTAGAAATATGGTGTTAAATTATACATTTGTTTTCCTTGTTGATACACAGATGTATGGATACAACGGACTGTGTGTGTGTGTGTGTGTGTGTGTGTGTGTGTGTGTGTGTGTGTGTCTGCTCAAGAGGATTTGCTGTGTGCATGTGTGCGTGCATGTGTGTGAATAAATGGGGCCATCAAAAATTGATTTTGTTTCATGAGCAAACATCTGCCATATAAATTAGAGGAGGGCACTTAAAGCGGTTTCAAGAATGGAGGCTGTTTGCAGCAATCACAGTAAGTGTAGCTTTGTCAACACTCAGTAGCTGCTGATGCTCATCGGTATCACTGTGTGTCATTTATTAAGCCAGCTGGCCAACCTCTTTGTGAATATGTTGTGTAAACCATGTCCTCCCCATGGTACTGATTGATGATACAGTTTTCTTCTATGCACACAGTTCTGCTGAGCGTCACAGTCTCTAAACATAGTGTTGTTATAGAAGAAATGATGATGGCATATTGTGTTCAGTTTGTGTTAATCAGTGTCAAAAATGTTAATATTATTAACATAAATACAGAAGCAGTCATTTGTACTTTTTCAAAGTTTTTCAGGACATGAGCGTAGTACATAAGTAAGGTGTGAATAACTATGGTACTCAGTAGAGCACATACCTCC